AATATAATTGCTAATCTTTGTTCAACATCATTCTTATCTATTTGCGAAACCTATAAAAAAAATTATGGTATTCATCCATTATTTTCCTTTGAAAGTTTTTCTTTTACTCATTTGGATCATAAACTCATCTCATTTATTTGGTTTGCTTCCATTACAATCTAAATAGTAATTATAGTTAGAATATTATGATAACAACTAGTAAAATCTAAAACTTAGTACTCTTTTTCTTTTCTTTTTTTTAACTTGATTCGTCATCCAAACCTAAGTACTTTAATTGATCCTTAATATGAGAACTTGATTGTTTAACAAAAAGACACAGAGAAACAGAAGCACAAATGATTTACTTGAGAACTTCAAAGCAATATCGAATATCCATCGCAAAACGTAAATATAAACATAATAATTTAAATTTTTTGAATCAGAACAAAGATAAATTAGAATTCTCCATGGGTAAAAGTGGAAAAGTACTTTAAAGCAATTCCAATTTATTAAAAAACATTTGTTACCTTTGCTTCAAACACTCCCTCAAAACAAATAACTAATCTACGATTTGCAGAAGTGTAAAAGGAGAAACGATTCATTGCAACCCCACAATTTGATGAAAAGTATTTGTTACTTTGTCTAAAAATTTAAAATCTATACTAAATCCCAGATCCATCCAAACAAAGATTTTCATGGATACATTTGTCATTTATCTTAGAGGACAAAAGAGGTTTTCACTTGCCACCTTGCCCAGGAGTACAATCAAAATCAGCTTCTGTACACATGTACATATGGAACATATGTACATAGGGCCAAGAGTGCGGTAATTGACCTTTACTACAAAAAAAAAACGACACAAGACAAAGCAGAGTGGTGAAGGAGATTCAACTTTTTCCTATCTCGACAATTCTAGTAATTGCCAAGAGTCTTTCCATGCATTAAGCAGCTCAATACGACTTCACAGCTTAAAACATTCATTGCTCAAAAAGGCTTCAGAGCTAAGTTCATTAGCTTCCTATCATTCTATCAATCTTCCTACAGCCAGACAAGTAGGTTCTATCCATGTAATTTACAGAGAAGCCATGTTAAGTGAAACCAAGATCAAAATAAGACCGAGCCCTCCGATGCTTTTGCCGTCTATGTTTCCTTCCCCATCCAAATGAGCAACTCTGCAGAAAGCTCTGCTCACTTTGACAAGGATTCTGTTTTGAAAGCGAGCACGCCTTTCTGCTGATTGCATTGAGAGGGAACCTTTTAGAGTGCCTCCTCCCTTTGGCACATCCAACTCTCCCGACTTTCTTCCTGACTTTGACATTCTCATGAGCTGTTCTTGCAGCAGCTCTTAGCTTTTTAATGGGCCGAAGATTCTCAGTCGCGTCATGTGAACAGAGAGAAGAATCACAAGGTAGATCTTGTGACTGAAAATCCTTCCACCCCCTTGCCTTTCTAGATTGTCCCTCACTTGTCAGTAGAGGATCACCTATTAACTTGTTTTTCTGGTCAATGGTCATATGACAATGATCTTCAACCTTGATTCCTGTGGACTTGAATGTCATGGCTTCCAATTTTTCAAGCACTTTGGGAGCAAGATCACTGCAATTGCCAACAGGTGCATCAGCCAGATGATCTTCCGATTCATTTTCTGCAGAACCTGCCACAGTACAAGCAATCCCAGCAAACCAACCTAGGCAGTCAACAGAAACCTCTAATAGTTGACTCATGCTAGTGTTGAGACTTTGTTTTTTGCCAGGAAACATAATCGAAAGAATAACCTCTGCTGCAATCCTGTCAAGTTCCTTGACTGTACCTTCATGATTCTCGCTTTGATTGTCCTCGGACTCTTCTCTAGGTGGAGAATGCTCCTTGTTGTCTGGACTGATAGGTGCCTGCAAATCTGTCCCTACTGCAGTTGTTTCAGTCAGTACCTGGGAATGCTTTTGATCCGTGTTGGAGAACCGCAAGTCCATACAAGTTTTCAACTGGGACATTTCTTTTCCACAATCGTTAGCTGGACAAGTTTCATCATCTTTTGGAGATTTTTCTGAATCGTGTGAAGAATCACAAGACATATGGCTAGCAGGGAGATCAACCATTTCACCATTCTGGATGTCGTTTTCCTCAGATAAATTTGAATTGGAATCAATTGCAGTAAATGCACAAAATTGGCTTCTGGAAATTGGAGGATCTAACAAATGTGGACATCCACCTATCTGATCTTCAGAATCTGGCTTAACTCTTGGTCCATTCAATGGCCCTACAGAATTTTCACACTTTTTTTCTCCAACCATACTCCTGTCCTTATCCTGAGAATCTTCTATTTCAGGCACTGAGTTACAAGGCATGGTATTCAGATCCATATCCACTGGAATTTGGTGAACTGGGTCCTCAACAAAACCAGCAAGGTATTCAGCAGTGGGTTGATTATTACTGGTGCAGCTCATATGGGAGGTAATGCATCCCAGATTTGAAGAGAGTACTGCATTTCCATTTGAATACTTCTCCTTAATCACAGAGCTTCCACTAGATGATCTGGAAGTTTTACTGGAGAATTGTATAGAACTGAAGCATGGCAGTGCTTGAATTGCTATAGGAACCTCAGTGTATGATGTTTTCCAGGAAGAATTTGAAGCTGATGCTCCTGTATTGGTTTGATCAGAGAACTGCACAAGTTGGGATGCGGTGGTTACACATGAGCTTAACATTCTCAGCTCATTGATATTGAAGTCTTGCTCTTTTTTGGTTGATTTTGAACCCAAAATTGTTTTATCATTGCATGGCAGGGTCAACTTTCCAGCGGATTGAACTGGAAGCCCAGAATTTGCTTCAATACTCGCTGCAAATTTAGATAATGATAAGGTAGTTCGTTAAAACCATATGTGAATTAATTTATTAAATTTAGATAACAAGAGGGGTTTCATTAAAGATGGAGATATAAACATGGGTAGCATTAATTTACTCTTTTCAGACAATAAAAAAAGGAAATAGAAATATGAATATAGACACTAAGGGAAGAACCTTTTCCTTCCAGAACATCAGAAGCAATACTCATCAAGTCAGGGGTTTTTGATCTTGGCTTTCCAGATAAATCTGGATCCTGTTGCTTGATTCCTGTGCTGCTCATGTTAGAGTCAACTAAACTGCTGGAAATTGTAACTGGTTCATCAGAAGGTAGAGGAGCATTCAAATCAAGCAAACAACTTGTATTGCTGCAACTTGAATTAAAATCGGAAGAAGCTCCTTTTCTGAGTATTAAATTACTCTTAGGCGAAGAGTCTACAAATCTTACAGATGGATCAAGCTGAACTGGAGAGACTTCAGAAGATTTTTCCTTCTCTAGCTCTTCGCCTCCATCACTATCCATATATTCCTCAGGTGGAAGTTCCAGATTTAACATTCTCTTCCCATATTTGTTCCTTCCACATGATGAGACTTCAAGTTCTTTCAAATGGTTTTCTTCTAGATAAACATCAGAACCAGCGTGGATGCTCTTCTTTGAAACAAAATTTGAGGGCCTTTGAAAGTTTTCCACTCCATGTACAGACGGCTTATCATCTCTTGGGTTTGATAAAAGCCATCCTGGAAGCTGTAAAGCCTTCTTAGAAGTATCACACAGCATTCCAGATACAAAAGTTTGCATCCGTAGATGATCTTTACTTAGTTCCATCATTTTTATTTCATCCATCAACTCCCTTTGCCTCCCATACAAGCGATGTAGTTCATGAACCTGGAAAAGAAACACAAGTAATTATTTGCTCTATTTCAAAGGCCGCCAACAAAATTTTCCCGTTTCAAAGGCCATAGACAAACTTTTCGAATAAAATAGCCACAGTTACAGAAGACTCCAATAAAAGAAGGTACAGGAACTCCAGATCCTATGCCATTTATATAAGGCATACCTTTAACGACACAAAATCTCATTTGAACAACCACAACAACTCAGCCAGCAATAAATGAAATCATTATCAAAAACTAAAGAAAATAGAACACAGACAAGTTCCAGGATCCAATAACCTAAATTATGATAATTAAAACAGTGTCTACAGAACCATAGTCCAATGCAGTGCATTTAAAATCAATTTTTGAATGTCTTTTACCTGATACATGAATAATGATTCATGCTTTAGCATTGTCTGCCTTAATATTTCTTTGTTATAAGCTAAATACTGATCAGTCATTGGTTGCTGAGACAAAATATTGTAGTCTCTGCCACTTCTACAGAAGAAACCATTGTTGAATTGTTGCCATAAGCTCCCACTAGCATCAACATTTTGCTCTCTAGTATAATAATACCCAGAAAGATAGCTTGTACACTGCATCTTTGCTCCACTTCCTATGGACAATTCAAGAAGGAAACAGTCAGTTTCAACCGAAGATACGTAATCAAGATATCAGAACTAATAATGCTTCAACCGCTGCTGGTGACAAAATGAAAGATAGTTTACTTATTTAGTGAAGAACTCTATGATACATTTAAACTCAATTTTTATGTAAACAGAAATTCCACAGGCTTGGAATGAAGCTCAGCATACCGCAAAAGAGACATAATCATCTAAATTTACTCAACCAAGATATTCAAAATCAATTCGAATAAATAAGTTTGCATCGCAACAACAAAGATTTTAACCAATTTGACTATGTTGTCTATTTTTTGACATCTTTCCTTGCGTAGTACCAGCTAGTTGAACTGATCCCAGAGTACATAATGCGCTGACTGAGGGAGATGAAACTCAGTAGATTTTTCAGATTCAATTAGAAGTTAGCCAAGTCAAACTATAGTGCAACAAGTTCAATTATCTATACCAGCTCAATCATTTTCCTGTCTCAACAAACAAATTCCATAATCAACGATGACAAGATGTATAGGCATTTGAAGTCTAGAACTCACATACAAAGACAAATAAACAAAAGCATATGGCAATCTTCAGTATCAAACATCAACTATAACCAAGATCTTTAGGATACACAAGTGAAGAAAAACAAATAAATAGTGCACCGTCACAGTGCACATCAGATTAATAATGGCGGTGGGTGGAGGGAGAATGCAAAGAACATTTGAAACTCACAGAAAGTAATAATATAATTACTTAATATCCCAGGAATTAAACCAAAAGCAGGAAAAAAATATGTAGGGATCAGGAGTTGTGAGGAAACAAAAATCAAATCCCTTGAAGTGTAATGGTTAACAAAGAAGTTAGTAAATTGGCCCTTTGAGAAAAAAAAAATCATTTCAAATTTGAAACTGCAGATCTTTTGACATAAAAAATTTGAAACTGCAATTGTGCGCCTAAAAACCTTAGAGATTTCATCTACCCATGTGTAAATTCATTAATATTGCCATCATCTACAAAGTAACCGTAGAGCATCATTGACACTCCAAAATTCAAGACAAAATCATGGAAAAAGTGAAGTGGAGAGTATATACAGGACAAATTTGGCATATCAAAGCCAACATCTTTCTGCAAATCAGTTCATCAAAATCACAGGTATGCATTCATACATCACATACTCATAAATTCATGCATACCAATTCAGATATCCATACAAATACACAACTGAAAAATCATAGAAATTCATGAACAGCAGAGCATCCCAGATAAGAAAGCAACAAAGTAATCAAAACCCATTATCATTTTCTTGCAACATTCAGGAAAGTATGAAACTTTACCTTAAATTACAGCCTAAAAACCTCTTCTTTCAAGAACCCTTTTGAAATATCAACCCATTAATCCAACCCCAATTCATATCTCCTATCCCACTTTTCAACTGCTGAGAGCAACCATCAGCAAAAGCAAAGAAATAAGCAGAGCCCATTAACTATTATCACAGCCCAGAAAACAAGATAAAGTTTACAGAAGAAAAAAAGCTCAAATTTGTATACTATCTATCTATTTCTGCTTTTCCTCTTTTTTCTGAGCACTTGAATGCTGAAAATGGGATATTGCAGACTTGTAAGAAAAGTTAAGAAAAAAGAGGGATTTTGATTGTCATGTAGTACTAATGGGCACAGCTATAGGCTCAACAACTGTGAGAAAATATTTGGAGTTTTTGGATCTGACGGGTCCCACTCTTTACAAAGATGATGGAGAGAGAGAGAGAGAGAAAAGGAGAGAGAAGGAAAAAAGAATAACTTACATTAGAAGAGACATAGGATTTGTCAACATATGCGGGTCCTATACTCTTCTTCCCCTGATTCATAGCATATCTCATTTTGGATTTTTTTGATGTGTTGTTGGAAAATTTGTGCGTCATTTACTCATTAGATTCTCTCTCCAACCAGTCCACTGTGTATATACACTTGTCCTTGACATACCGTATTTTTTAGCACTGGAAGTGTACCGTTCTCCATAAAGGGATAAATGCCCCCGCAGATCAACTGGTTTCGTAGTCTCCTCTTTAGGGGCAGGTCACTGGTTCGACCCTCGGGAGAGCTAATGCGCTATGAACCTTGGGGCGGGGCTCTCACATCCGTAGAGGATTAGTCGGGCCCAATGGTTCCGAACACTTCTGTGTTGACAAAAAAAAAAAAAAAATCCATAAAGGGATAAATACTGAATTCGGCAATGTGTCAATCCACATGGATACATACTTTTAACTTCCATTCCTTCGTGAATTGTATTTGGTTCGTACTTTTTTTAAAAAAAAATCTTTGTTACATTAACAATGTACCTTCGCATGTACACTGATAAGTCCAACCTCAGTGGCCACCAGGGAAGGATAAGTCTTCCTTGAGCTGTAACTGAGGGTTTAAATCTCACCTGCAATAAAAAAAAAAATTTCAAAGATATTGCCATAGTACTCTCTTGGTTTAGTAAAAAAAAAAATGTACATTGATAAGTCTAAATGTATATTATGTTATCTCAAATTTTATTCTAAATTTTGCTTATATAATAATGTATTCAAATCTGTTATTATATGCATTGTCAGTGTAAAAATATTAATCTAATTTTTTTTAACGGTTCAAATTTGAGAAATTATCATCGATGGTAGTATCTTGACTTACTTCTAGAAATTGATAAAGGAATATTGTGGATGAATAAATTTTATAAGACGAATAATTGGTGGAGACACCACTAACAAATTTTGTGCTTAGTCTATCTGGGATTGAATATCTCTTTTTTTGTAAAGATTAGATTGAATGATAAGATAAGAGAAATTATAAGTAGGAGATTTAGAGTTCAAGACCTTGCTCTTGTTAAAAAATTTTAATTGAAAATGAATATCTCTTTTTTCGGCCTATAACTACAATTGAATAGCTCCTTTATTGAAATTTTTTGGTCAGTCTAGCTATCTCAAGAAAAAAAAAATTGAAAAAAAAAATCTTCTATAAAAATAATAACACAAATTGCTTAGAACCAATTTGAATTGCTATTTTCTGGAGTTTTTTTATAGAAAAATGTACTATAATGATTTGATATATGTGAGGTAAAAAAATATTGAAAAATATGTTCACAAAAAATGTAAAAAATATTTGGAGAAAAATTGCAATGCTTTACATTTTTCAATTTACCGCGAATGAATTAGTTGATATTTCAATAATTTTCTCATTGGATATACCGGATGCATTATTTGAGTTTGGTCATTCAAATCATTACGTGCCCTCTGAAGTATTGAAAACATCACCAATATATGAGTAATTCTTCCAAGAAATATTATTGATTAAAAGAAAAGAGTTATTAAATAGGACAAATAGAGGGAATATCACTCTAGTCGGCAGTTACCTTTGCTGTATTTGGATTTATTTTTTGTCTCATTTTGAATTTCTTGCCAAAGCTAAAATTGATGCTCATGTGTGCACGAATCTTTCTTGTTTTCATAGCAAAATAGCATGCGTAGACCCTTTTTAACGTTTTACACACCACTCAACTGAAAGACTTTTTCCTCAAAAGCACTTGTGAAAAGGGTGTGTAAGAATTTAAAAGGTATATGTGAATAGCATTTGGCATTGTTTTCGTCAACAAAGCAGTTCAACAAGAATGAGAAGGTCAAAGCAATTTAAAGTGCAAAAAGTTCCAAACCTGAAGTTTGAGGGCCAATGTTGGAATCAACCGAAAGTTTAAGGATGAAAAGCGAAACAAATTAAAGAGAACATGATGCTCGCGTCTTGTTTCCATCTACTTCTGTAAACACCTTTTACTATTCAAACTAATTGGGACAAATTAGAAAGTTCAGGACAGAAAATATCTAAAATTGAAGTTGATGGTACAATCTGATAATAGATATGAAATTTACCAATACAAAGCGGAATTATTCCATAATGAATGAAGCAATTATTGAGTAACTACAAAATATAGGACAACAGTTACTTTGAACACTTTCTTTATAGTGTAGTAACAAGATTAACACTATTAGAGTCAACAATTCTATTCTGCTTATAAGCAAGATTAGAATAGAAAAAACATAAAAATCAAATCAACCATTGTATTCAGCTTCCCTTTTTTGCATTGTTGAAGATGCTGATACTATTGTACTCAGCTCATAAACAAGACTTGCTGCAAATATTAAGAAAAAATGAGAGGAAATTCCACATACCTTAAAGTTGTCCTTCCCTCTAATAACATGGTCTAGGTATTGGACACTAGAGGGGCAAAATGTAAAAGCATTTTTTTTTTCAAAAATATAAAAGTTTTAGGTTGCAAATAACAATAGTCATGTTTTTGGTACTTATTCACGGCATAGCTCAAGCGAATACTTGTTTGGAAAGGGATTTTCTATCAAAAAAATCTTTATATTTTCTGTGAACGCGTTTCCCAATCATCTTTTTACCTCACAAATATTAAATCGCTACAGTACATTTTATACAAAAAAACTCCAGAAAATTGCAATCTAAACTTCAGAAAATTACACTAGTTGCACCAGAATTGTGGATTACCAAGAAAATTGACGAACAATGCATGTTTGTGCATGTGTATCATCTTTTACAGAACAAATCTTTGACGCAAAAAGAGATAACATTTTGCAAAAATTTGCATTTTTCCTTCTACCATTAAGTTAGGTTTGGATTAGCTTAATTAATTTTCTACTTCAACACATTTGGTTACTTATGTGCTGTAATTGTATATATTTTTTAAATCTGTCATGATATATACCTTTTCAATGTATATAGTTTGCTGTACTTGACTGTCTTTAAAGAACATAAGTTGATAACCCCAAATACCAAATATTCTGGTACAAAATTCCAAAATTCATTGAGACCAAACACGAAGAAATAAATGTTTTGTAGGTTACTTTCTCATTCCAGTCGTCAAGAGGGATTTTTTTGAGGGAATTCATTGATGTTAATGCTGAGCTTGAAGACAAAAGTCCAAAATTTTGACCAATTTTTGACTACCAATGAACAAGTTCAAATTTACTTTTGGTTAGGTGATTTTCAGAGGAAGATAGGACTGGCTTGTCAAATTCAATTGCAATATATAATTGGTTCAATTATTAGGGCCTAACCATAAAGGAGTATTTATTTGGCATGTTGCTGTTAGCCGTTAAGTTAGGCATGATTAGTTCATTATTGTAATGAACATTTATCCACACATTACCAACCTTTCCTCTTTAAAATTAGCATGAGAGAGTCAAATTCAGGTTCGCGTTATTTATTTCATTTCTTAATTGCAACGACCAATGTTGCACTTAACATAGGGTTTTTTTATTATGGATTTCTCTAACGAACGCCTAATGGACACCTGTTAACACACTAAATTCCATCCAATTTATTATATATATATATATACTAATAATTATTACTTTCTCTTGTATTTATTTATTTTACCTAATAAATCTTACATTTTAAAAAATCTAATATGTGAAATACATCTTAATGAATAGACCCGTTGTTTATTCTTATTATTCTGGCATACGTTAGGGTTTTAGGGTCTGTTTGTTTGGATGGAAAAGGTTTTCCGGAAAACATTTTCCATGTTTTCCATTGTTTGGTTGATAATTAATTTGGGAAAATAATTTCTGACAGAAAATAAGTTACACCCACGGGCGGAAACAACTTCCTTATCCATGATTGTGAAGTTATTTTCCTTTCGTCTTCTTTTCACAGCCTCTTCATCAAGAAAAGACCAAACTCTTACTTTTTCGCAGCGACATCTCCTCAACTCCGGCAAATAAAAGCCTCAAGCGATACCATCGATAAAAGCCTCCGGCGACATCTCATCAGCAAACAAATCCCTTCTTCGCAGGCGGCATCTCCAACTCCGGTAAAGATCCACTTTCGGAGGTAACAGATCATCTCCCTTCCCCTCCTCTCTCTCTCTCTCATTTTTTTTCCTTTAAAAGCGGCCAATATCAGTTTGAAAAATTTGTCCTTATTAGTTTTTTTCCTCCCTTTTCCTTTGAAAAATTGTCTAGAATTACTGGTGTAGATTCTTGAAGTTGGATTTGAATGAATTTTTGTGGTTGCTTTTGTTTTAGTTTGTTCTTACCGGATTAGGGCTATATTTGATTTAATTGATGCTAATGAATTAATTTGGCTGCTGAGTTTTGGGGGTTTTTGATACTTGGAATCTGATTATTAATCTTGGCGCTTTTGTCTCGGCCCTCTAACTTGCTCAGAATCCGGGTAGGGTAGGGTAGGGTAGTGTTTTTCTTACAATCTGGTGAGAAGATGCTCTGGAAGAGGAGAGGATGGGAGTGTGAAATGTGGAAGTAGTGGACGGTGTCACTGCTCAAGGAAAAGGTTGTTATTTTCCGTCCTCTTAGATTTTTCAAATTTCATTTTGTTGTCTTTTTTGTGGTATTTATGGCCACTGTCTTCATTTTTTTTTAAAATTCCCTTAGCAGGAAACACAGGGTGAAGAGATCAATCAAAGTACCTGCTATCAGTAACAAGCTTGCGGATATCCCTCCCGATGAGTACTCTTGGAGGAAGTATGGCCAGAAACCAATCAAAGGTTCACCTCATCCCAGGTACATTGCTAGTCTCTGCTATTCCATGATGGAGCTTGCTTTGACTTGCAGTAAAATCCATAGAAAAATCATCAGTTATTTATTATTATGCTTCTTGACCTACTTACTTTACTGTGCCCTCTCAGTGGAGTGATCTACAGTTTAGCTTTTAATTGCATCTCATCCACTTTGAATTTTGAAGTGAAAACGCTATAGTGCCAGGAATTGTTGCTCGTCTTTGATTCAGTTTTAGTTTGGCAAAAGGAAGGATTTGTTTCTTCTCCAATCCTATTTGCGTTTTATGTTTCTCTGATTCTTGGTGTGCTTGAGAGCTTCTTGGAAGTCGTGACATAATTATTTTATGAGCCTAACATTTAATCTTATCTCGGCCTTCAATGTGGGAGGGCTGAGGAGAAGAGTTGATCTCCAAGTGCCTAGATTCAACATTCGCTGATCTCTGTGCAGGGGATACTACAAGTGCAGCAACATGAGAGGCTGCCCTGCCATAAAGCATGTGGAGGATGCTTGGAGGAGCCTTCAATGCTGATTGTCACCTACGAAGGAGAACATAACCATCCAAGATTGCCATCACAATCAGCAAATACGTGAGACTTGTGGTCATCAAGCTTTTGGTTGTCCCGATTGCTCCTGTACACATCATGTCGCACTTGTTCAAGCTTGAGGTACAGGGGAACGAGCGTCTGGTGAAAAAAAAAAGAAGAGAAGTTGGATTTTGAACCTTATTAGGTCTGGGAGCATACATTCTTGTTGTCATGATTTTAGAATTAGATGGGCTGTCATGATTTTCATTCTTGTTGCTATTGTTGTTATTTCGTTTACCTGTCTTATTTAGAGCAATTGAGTTATAATAGGTTGTGCTTCACGGGTGGACTTGATGCTTCTCTCACGTGTTAAGATATTTATTTTTCCTGGTTGTTTTTCAGCACCATTGAACCTTAGAGGTGATCTAGAAGTGGAAAAAGGAGGGCTGACTGAGTACCTTGCCACTTGCTGTGGCCATGGGAAGTTGTAGATGCAGGCCAACTGGATTTGTTCAAAGCTCTGGTCACTAAGTTTTTTCCTGTAAAATGTTCACATGAACATTGGTGACGTGTTGTACATATTTTTACTTTTGTAACCATTATTTACTACCTGGGCAACTGATATTTTTGGGACCGTTTTCCATTTGGAGATGTGATTTTCATTTTTGTTGAGCAATATTTTATATTTTGGCATATATTTGCCTCTGTATGTATTGAATTGTTCCAGATTTTTGATCCAACTGAGGCTGACAACATTTAAAGCAGGGATTTGAGTCACTCTAGGCTTGATAGGTGCTTTTATGTACCAATGGTTCTAATTCTGTACCATAAAATATGTGTTTTATTTAGTTCATTTCACAAAAGATGTTGTTTCTAGTGCAGTGGTTATCTAATTTTTTTTAGTATCACTGATTTGAGACAATAAAGAAAATGTTGTGGCATCCAATTTGATAGAAGAGACTCTCGGCCCTTAATGATTATTTTTAAAAGGAAGATAAAAAGCCATTTCATTAGTATCATTAATAATTCCATTTAAGAATTCATGATGTAATATGAATACATATTTTATAAAAATGATAATATGATTATAATGGATAGAAATTAAAATTAACTTGTAATGAAATAAATGTTTTGAGAGTAGAAAAACAGTTGCAACATATTAACAAATATATCAGAAAATATTTTCATTGACAAACCAAACATCGGAAAATTAGGAAAAAAGAAATTTGGAAAATATTTTCAGTTAATAACCAAACACTGGAAAATTATGAAAAAGGAAGTGATTTTCCAGGAAAATGACTTCGATGTAGGAAAATATTTTCAGTCCAACCAAACGGACCCTTAGTACATTTCATTTTCATATCACTTCCAAATTTTTCAGTTGTGTCAATGCAGTCAATTATCAATAATTTTTTTCTAAATTTTTGTCCTCGGTCTCTTGAAACCCATTTATTTCAAAATTTTTAGAAATGGAAAAAGAATAGACTGCAAACTTTGGCAAATTTCAATGTCAGTTCACTTTCAAAATTTTTCAATTGTGTCAATGCAGTCAATTATCAATAATTTTTTCTAAATTTATGTCCTTAATCTCTTGAAACCCATTTATTTGAAAAGTCTTAGAAAGGGAAAAAGAATAGACTGCAAACTAATTCTTGCCTTCGCTTTTAAACAAGGTTACATTATTGTGTTAGGGTAAAGGTAGTAGGATTACCAAATGTGCAACCTCACAAATCATTTTGAAGGAATTTTTTTTTTTCGTGAGATGATATCTGCTGGGATCATTTTATCCATTTCTGTCAATCTATGCTGCAAGCCTATATATGTGTGATATAAACCCCTCTCGTGGTCTTGGTCAAAATGTATTTTAAGGTGTTCGAAGGATGAAAGCAACAGCATAAACCCCGAATCGGTTTTCCTTTTGGGATCATTTCAGAACTGTTCTAAAGTTTTCGAGGTTTCTACAATATCATTAAGCACCTCTGGAATTTTTAAATTTTCATTTGACTTCCCAATTTTAATTCTTTTAATGTATTTAGCACATTTTAAACCACACTTTTTTTTTGTATAAATCACAGATATTCGCATCGATTTTACGGTTTGCGACTAATTATATTCGAACAAAGTCAATCCCTTTATGGGGGAGAAACTCTTCCAACATTGTTCTTTCCATTCCTATGGGTTTTGTACCCGAGATTTCATGATTAAAGTATGCAAACTCTCCTAACATTTTAGATCTCATTGATCTCTTGAATGTTAAACTTATTAATATGTATTTAAAGAGGGAGAAGATAATTTCATAGCACAAATTGACCTCTCGCTGTCCCACTGGTTATTTTAGTATGAAATTTTATGTTAGCAAAAGATTAGAGACTAAGGAAAATAGTCAGTGGTTGAAAGTTTAATGCCAAAAAAAAAATATATGTAGCAGCAACCATATGCATTTTATTGTCCTTGCAACGACTACTATTGTCCGAATTGAATTGAAAGGAAGTCGGTGGTGGAAACAATTGAAACTTTTTAGGAAGTGCCAAAAGCAATAAAAAAAAAGGACAAAATTTTGAAAAGTACAAGTATTTCCTCTTGAAGCTTTGAAGGGAAGTCATGCAATTGGCTAACATCTTTTAGCGTAAAGAAACGAAATTGTGGCTTTAATCTAAAAGCCATAATAAATTTTTTGGAATATGCATATTCTTCCAGTGTTATAAAAGCAATGAAGTGATGAGATAAACGACTAAAGATATGCAGTTGGTACATGGATGCTAGAAAACTGTGGCCTTTTTACAGACTGGCTCCTAAATGGTGCCAAATTTCTAATGGGATCTTCCTTAATAATGAGGCAAAACTTTATGACGAAAAAGAAGAAAAAGAAAAAGAAACCTGGCAGATTTTTGGCTGAGAAAATATACAATAAGCCTAAAGCGCTAAAGGTGGACCTGTAGGAAGGCCTTTTCTATTTTGATTTTTGTGCCATTAGGAGTACATATCATCGTCCACAATGGTTTACGCTTTTTGAAACGTAATGCACATGTCACGTCAACATTCCACTTTCTCCTCTTTTATTATACTCTCATTCACAATGAATTACACTTTATAAGGTGTAATAGCATGGATCCACAATTAAATCAAATATTTATTTTAATAATGCATAACTCATATTGCATGAATAAATAAAGTAATTTTTTAAAAATAATTTTGTTATTTTTAAAACATAAATTATTAACTTTCATTGAATTTTTTACCTTTTCGAATCCATGGCCATATTTCATAATTGGGTTTCGAATCCATGGCCGGATTTCACACCTGACCCACCCATTACACGCATCATTCTGATGATGAGTGTAATGAGTATTACACGGCCACAATGGGTGTCCGTGTAATGGACCTATGTCATGGCAGGTATTACACGCATCATTACACTCCATTGTGGATCATAAAAACTAGATGGGATGAATTTATTATAAAATTCAAACATTACCAATCACCTCCTGAATTGTGTAAACTTTTGCTTATTAACCATATATTATAAGAGTAAAGATCCCTTCCACCTCACCTTGGTCGCCCGCCCATGTGGAAAAAGGGGATTGGCCTCCTGGTGATGTGGCAAATGAAGATTGGTAAGAGGAGATAGACATGACCGCTATTTTAGAATCGAATTCTAAAAGATAGAACCTGAACCAACTCTTATAAGGATGGTTACAATTACAATTGTTAAACCTCTTATTCCAATCTGATTTCGATTTCGATTTTATTCCAATTAGGTTTGATTTTTTTGGATTACGGTTCTAGTTCTTTTAATTATGCTTAAACATTTGGTGTCATAAGATTGATTTTGAGAAGATATGACAGTAAATGTAGAAAAAAAATAAGAACTTTATTGCATTATCATGTGCAAGGAAAAAGAAAAAATGATATAAAATTTATGAAAAAAATATCTTATTTCCATGCAAGATTTATTTTGATATCATTTGTAACGTCCTGCGCCTGTTAGGTTGGCCCACTAATCTTTTGAGCTAAAACCACTTGTTCAAAATGGTTAATCCAAAGTTATTAGTAACCTGACCGACTAGATGTTATAAAGGAATGCTTCTATTTTTTTGGTCGCTGTAGGACATTACATAGGGAGCGAGGGGAGTCTTATTCAAACTAATACTAAATTATACATAAGTCTATACAATAAGTTAATTAAACTAATACCCAACAACGTATCATATAATAGCAAAATATTTTGGCGAATATATATTAAGAAAATCCAACCAGCTAAAAGTTGAGTATTGAGAAAACAGGAAGACTGGAGTAATTTGGAAAGAAAAATGTGCAAAATTAAAAGTACAATAATTCACTGAGGGGGACAAAAATATACATTTTTGAAGTTCGGGATGGTAAAGTGTTACAGCTCCATAGGTAAAGTGATACAAAAATATACCGTTCCATAGGTAAAGTGATACAAAAATATACTAATCCACCTTTATTATTCATATCTAATTATATGGTTCCTAGCAAAACTTGCTATATATCTGTAAAATGATTGCCATATAAAGTAACCAATACCTTCTCTATATAGACCTTCAATGCCTACTACAATCATTCCCACATGAGTAACATGACACTATCCATATTTCTAAATTATTATTTGCCTGTCACATCTAATTTAACCATTTGAGACTCATGGGTACAAGAAACGAATCTATCACTATAATGTTGATATAATATGAATTTACTCAAAATATTTTTTTTGATATACCTAAAATATTTAATTAGTTCTATTTTGTTATGCCTAAAATTTTCTAATTGGTTTTCTACATTTATTAATTGTTCTACCCTGACTGCTTCATTTTTATTTTCTCTGCTACTCATTACCCTAGTTATCAGGCTTATACTAAATTTACTTTGAGAAAACTAAGTCTAGAATGTTTCATAATTATAACATTGATTAGTAATTAGTCTTTTGAATTTCTAGTTATCTTCTTTGTCCTTATCTCCTAAGCTAATATTCTTAAATTGGTTTATTAAACTATTTATAACTTCTTCAACTTTAGTTTTTTTGTCTTAACTTTTTTTTTTTATCTATTTTTGTTTCTAGATTATTTAATTTTTCAAATTTTTAATACTAATAAAATTTATATGTTGGATTATCTAGTTTGTATTTGATCTCTCTTGCTTATTCCTTGATACTTATTAAGTGCTTTCGGATCTTCGTGATATTTTTTTTGCTTCTTTTGTGCTTCTACATATTCTAGGTTATTCATTCACCATATGTAATCTTTTAATTTTTCTAATTTTCATTCCAAATTTTATTTGCATATTTTCTAATTTCTAAACTTGCCCATAAACCTGACTAATTTGTTTATCTACATGTTGTAAGGAATTTCTTATTTCAATTTCTAATGTTTTAGGTGCCTTGGGTTCTTGTTTAAACAATATGCATTACAAGATTCAAAACTTTCTTCCAGATTATTTGTTAGGTTATTGTCACTTTTCCCCCTTAAACTATATCACTACTATTAGTTTACCTTCTAACGTTATTTTTTAGTCACTTCACTCTCATAAGTAATTCAATTCAATATGTTAAGAAATTTTGGATAAAAATATCCTTTTATTCTATAGCATTACTACATTGTTATTATCACTTTATCCCTATAAATTATAGTGATACGATTGATTTAATCCCAAACCTTATTTTTAAGGCATTTTATCTCATCGTTAATCTAACTAGTATGGTAAAAAAATTTTAAATGTATTTACCCTTTTTATATATAATTAAAAATAAAAAGTTG